GCAGTCACAGCACATATCCTTCAACAGATCCCTATGATAGCCCCTTAAGGTCCCTGATAGCAGTCCCTATAACCCATTCCCCCATTCCCTACTAAGCACCAGACAGTCTTAAGCACCACAGGTTTTTTGGACAAGCAGACCTACACCCTAAACCCTAAACCCTAAACCCTAAACCCTAAACCCTAAACCCTACCCCTACACCCTAAACCCTACACCCTACACCCTACACCCTAAACCCTAAACCCTAAACCCTAAACCGCCACAGGTTTCTTGGACAAGCAGACCTACACTGTTTGGTGCCTTTCCCCGGCCTCCAGCAACGGCGTGGACGTCTCCAAAGCGCTGGCAGAGGCTGCCGGTTTTAGGCTTTAGGGTTTAGGGTTTCGGGTTTCGGGTTTAGGGTTTAGGGTTTAGGGTTTAGGGTTTAGGGTCGATCGTTCAGACTTGGAGTCGTGGGTTTGGCGCTTGGGACTGAGTCTTTTTAGAGGCTTTGGGACCTGGACTTTTGGGGTCGTGGGTTTGGCGTTTAGGACTGAGTCTGTTAGAGGCTTTGGGACCTGTGTGGCTTAATTTGGACTTGTTTGCTTTGCCCATATGATTTCGGGGGTGTTTCGTGGGTTTTTTTTACCTGCTAAACTCGAAACCCTCAAGACTAAATCCCAAACCTTTGACCCTAAACCGCTTTTGTCTAGTGGTTCGGGCTTCGGCGCTGGGATTCCGCATTCAACGGCTTGGCCCACCTTTAGTACGCTTGTGCCTTTTATGCTGGGGTTTCTTCTTAAAGAATGAATAACGGGGATACTGGAAATCCTAGGTGTTCAAGGTGTAGGCTTCAACTGGGTTCTGGAGTGCAAAGGTTTTTTGTGTTGCAACTTTTGCCCCCTTGTTGTGCCAACCTACGCCTATCGCAGTCAGGCAGGCAGGGAACGCAGCAACTACGGTTGATGATATAAATCCTGCATTACGCATAATTAGAATTCTACCAGAATTCCCATAGTTTAGGGTCCTTAAGATAATGCAGGGTTTATATCATCAACCGTAGTTTTAAAACCATTGCTTTAGTTTCCTTGGTAGACGCTCAACCCGCCAAACTGAAGGTCTATAGGTTTAGGGTTAAGGGCTTTGGGTTTAGGGTTTGTTATTGGTTTTTGAGGCCGTGGTTTTTGTTATAGCGGTCTCATAAAGCATCGATGCCGTGCTTCACCTTCTAAGGAGAGTACAGAAACTGCTTCGTCACACCCCAAACGAACATAGGATTCCTCTCCTACAATTCGGTTCCATAAACCCTAGACCCTAAACTATTAAATTAATAGGAATAATAATCCTAAACCCAGCAAACCCGAGCCTACACCCTAAAGAGTGCCCTGGTGTTTAAGGAGTACTGGTCAAGGCTTCGCAGGTGTGGGTTTGGGATGCCTGTAAGGATTGCTTCAAGGATTTTCATGGGTTAGGGTTTAAGGATTTCGGGTTAAGGGGTGTAGGGTTCATTAGGGTTTAGGGTTCTGCAGCTTTTGTATTTGTGGTGGTTTTGGTCTTTCCTGGGCTCGGGTTTAGGATTTCGTGTTAAGGGTTGAGGTTTTGTAATGATTAGAGTCTACTATGCTCATCTACAAGGTATAAGGGAACATCACTGAAAATCCAGACCCTAATAGTAATATAGGGGCCTAAGTAATTACCTATACTATTTTGAAGGTTCCTTATTATGATAATAATATAATATACCCCAAAACCCCCCTATTCTAATTATTAAGGCCCCTACATTATGCACTTGGCTTCCGGTCACAAGCTCGTCCATCCTCCGCAGGCTTTTGGCGGGCACCCGTTGGATTTGGAGGAGCCGATGCTTCTTTTCCTTTCTGTGTGTGTGCACTTTGTGAAATATGATCTCCAAGCTAGTTGGTTTCTTACACTCTTAGAGAAGTAGTATTTTTTTTCAAGGGGTTTGGAGAGTTCGGGGGTTTGGTTTGGACCCTAAAAAAGCCCATGCCGATCGAAGCCCTAGACCCAAAGCCAGTGTGAATAACCAAATCTGAAACTCTAAACAGCAAGCCCGCAAGCCGAAAACGCATGAAACCTTAAACGCTTCTAGCATCTTCGACCCTAAAGCAGAGAATCATTGGAACATCAGTAATAACTCTACGCAGTACTTCGCCTTCAGCCTGATAACTACCGTATCACTGTTAGCAACTTAAGTGAGAGTAGTAAGTAAGTATGACCAAACATAGTGAACATACTTGTAAGAACAATCACCATTACCCATATTACACATCAAGGATATACCAATCATGACTATGACCATGACTATGAGTCGTACCAAAAACACGGGTAGTAATCATAAGACTAACAATCGCATTAATAACAACGCTGACACGTTGAAACACCCTAAACCCTAAACCTCCAAACCCCAAGACCCAAAACCCCCAAAACCCTAAACTCTGGCCCCTAAAGCCCTACACCCCTAAAGCCCTAAACCTTGTACCCTAAACCTTATACCCTAAACCCCAAACCGCACACTCCTGGTGCCCGAAACCCTTTACCCTAAACCCTCAAATCCTAAACCCTGAACCTGATTCCCTAAAAACCTTACACCCCTTAAAGCCCTAAACCCTGTACCCTAATACCCTAAACCCTCAAATCCTCATCCTACCACCCCCCCCCCCTCCAAAAAAAAAATAAAATAAAAAAACAAAACTGAACTCCGAAGCCCCAGCCCTGGAGGAGCTTTGCCTCCCGCAGCCGGACGTTGGGAGGGAGGGACGTGTTTCTTCTTTTTCAGGGGTTTAGGGTTTAGAGT